AGACGGGGTTTCACCATGTTGACCAGGATGGTCTCGATCTCTTGACCTCGTGATCCACCCGCCTCGGCCTCCCACAGTGCTGGGATTACAGGCTTGAGCCACCGCGCCCGGCCTTTTTAGTAGAGTTTTGCCATGTTGGCCAGGCTGATATCGAACCCTTGACCTCAGGTGATCTGCCTGCCTTGGCCTCCCAAAGTGCTGGGATTACAGGCATGAGCTACTGTGCCTGGCCAGTGTAACTGGTTTGTAAGAGTTTAGCCACAGTAGCTTCTAGAGATAAGATATTAGATTTAGTGGGTGGGAAGAGGCCTGGATGTTGGTCTTTCCAGAGCTTAGAGTTCCTAACACTTTCCTTTGTGAGGAAGTTTACCTTTTGACTGGAACCAGATGGCACTGAGGAGAAGAATGAGAACCACCTTATTCTGAAAAATACTTTCTTCTTATCCAGTAATTTGGGCTAAAAACGGGAAATACGTTGATGACTTGAAGTGGTGCAAGAATGGACAAGTCAGGGAAGTCATTGGGAACATGGATGAGATTATAAGCATTGGTGCACTGCCCTGTTTCCTGGCTTTTCTGAGAGAAATATCTAATTTTCCTATTTTCGGTTGGTGACTTCTGACACTAGAGTAGCCCTGGTATTGTATTTTAGATATCCCAGGCTATATCAGACTTTACCTGAATATACTGGAGTTGTTTGTTATCCCCCTATTCTATACCCAATAAACTCAGTTTGGGGCTTCTTAAGTCACCTGTTTTATTTCATATTCACTGGCAAGTATTACTCATCTGCACACAACACCTCAAGACTGGAAGTTTCTCTCGTCAACAGAGTAATTAGCATCAGTTGTTTGTTTGGGCCTGCCACTCTGTCACACATTTGTCTCATGTCATCTTATTTCTTTTTTTTTTTTTTTTTTTTTTTTTCTTTTTTTTTTTTTTTTTTTTGGAGACAGAGTCTCGCTCTGTCACCATGGATGGAGTGCAGTGGCATTATCATAGTTCATTGCAGCCTTAAACTCCTGGGCTCAAGTATGCTTCCATCTCACCCTCCTAAGTAGCTGGGACTTAACAGGCACATGCCACCATGCCCAGATAATTTTTTATTTTTTCTAGAGACAGGGTCTCCTTGTGTTGCCCAGGCTGGTTGGTCTCAAACTCCTGGGCTCCTCCCACCTCAACAACCTGGAGTGTTGGGATTACAGGCATGAGACTGTGCCCAGTCAATATCCTTTTCTTATACTCTCAGGATTAGGACATTTCCTAATCCTGAGGTATTCATTCCTACGATCTTGCCATGACCATCTCTTGCACACATACAGCCCATCAACCCAATACACACATACACTATTGCCCAATCTAATAGGGATAATTTTAGAATTTCATATATTCATTCAAGACAGTACCTGCCATGCTACAGGTATTGTATTTTGGCTTCAGAGAGATTGGAAGGTGAATGAGACATGGCGTTTATTCTTAGGGAGGGAAATAATATTTATGTATATGGGAATACCTTTATTGCAAGGTATAATGTGGAATAAGAAACAAGAGAAAGTCTTATAGTGCTAAGGAAATAGAGTGAAAAGAGATCATTTTGCTAAATGATATCGAAGATACTCTGGGTGAGAATTTTATGAAACAGCACAGGGCACTCAAGATGGAAGGAACAATAGGACCAGAAGTTTGAAGGCAGAAAAGCGTATTTGAAGGCACATTAGGGGATTAATATAAATTAAGTCTTAAAGGTAGAGTGAGATCAAATTATAGGAGTATTGTGAATTTATGTCGATCTGAGTGTGAATCCTGGGGCAGCCATCAAATAATTTTATATCACAGGGGAAGCTAAACTTCTCTAAGCCTTAGTTTCTTCATCTGTAAAATGGAGATAATGCCAAGTACTCCAAATTAAAGTTGAAGTTAAACAAAAACGTTTGCAAAGTTGGAGGACTCACACATCCCAATTTCTTTTTTCGCCGTTGCCCAGACTGGAGTGCAGTGACCCTATCTTGATTCACTGTGACGTTCACCCCCGACTCAGGCTCAAGTGAACCTCCCACCTCCGCCTCCCAAGTAGCTGGGACCACAAATTCAAGCCAATATGTCCAGCTAATTTTTGTATTTTTTGTAGAGGCAGAGTTTTGCCATGTTGCCCAGGCTGGTCTTGAACTCCTGAGCCTAAGAGATCCACCCTTCTTAGCCTCCCAAAGTGCTCGGATTACAGAGATGAGCCACTGTGCCTGGCCCCAATTTCAAAACCTGTAATCATTATATACTTACCAGTTCAGTATCCCTAATCTGAAAACCTGAAATGCTCCCACGAGCATTTCCTTTTAGTGCTATGTCAGCACTGCAAAAGTTTCAGATTTTGGATCTCAGTACTCAGGAAGCTTTGGATTTTGGAGCTTTTTGAATTTAGGATTTTTTGATTAGGGATGCTCAAGCTGTACAAAATAGTGGTAAAGACAATGTGATACTGGCATAGAATAGACATATGTTAGTGCAATAGAAGTGAGAATTGTCCTAGTCTGCTTGGGCTGCTGTAACAAAATACTGCAAACCATGTGGCTTGTAAACATCAGAAATTTACTTTCCACATTTCTGGAAGCTGGAAAGTCCAAGATAAAGGCACTGGCAGATTTGGTGTCTGGGAAGGGCGTGTTCTTACTGTGGAAAGGGTGCAAGGGGTGGAAGGGGTGACTGAGCTCCCTCTTTCCTCTCTTCCCAGGACACTAATCCCATTCTTGAGGGCTCTGCCCTCATGACCTATTCATTTCCCAAAGGTCCCACCTCCTAAAGCCAGAAGTTAGGACTTCAACATGTAAATTTGTTGGCGGGGGGACATGGGGGGAGAGGGGCCAGGGAGGAGCACAAAACATTCAGACCATAACAAGTATAGCGGAACATGATGGTTCACACCTGTAAACCCAGCACTTTGGGAGGCCAAGGCAGGCAAATCGTTTGAGCTCA